GGGCCCGGCGGCGGCGGCGGCGTCCCCGGCGAGCCCTGGGGCCCCGGGGCCAGAGGCGGAGCGGGGGTCGGGGCCCAGTGCGTCGCCCCCCGAGAGTCCGGCGGCCGAGCGCGGCGCGGAGCTGGGCGCCGACGAGGAGCAGCCCGTCCCGTACCCGGCGCTGGCGGCCACCGTCTTCTTCTGTCTCGGGCAGACCACGCGGCCGCGCAGCTGGTGTCTCCGGCTGGTCTGTAACCCATATCCTTCCCGGGTCTCCGGGGGTGCGGGGATCCTGGGTATGGGGGTCCGAGGCGCGGGACCTCCTCCCGCGTGTGCCTCCCACGCCCGAGCTCTTTGGCCCCGGCTTGGTCTGGGTGCTCGGGGGACGCAGTACACGCGCGCGAGGGGAGCGCTCCTCGGAGAGAGGCGGCCCCAGGCTGCGCTTTGTGGGGCAGCCGCCGCGGCTTTCTTGATCCGAACGGGGTGTCCCCGCTCCAGAGCCAGCTCCGGACGAGAGAGGGTGGAAGAGAAGCGGCGAGGCCACCGCGGGCTTGGTGGAGAGGGGTCGGCCAGGAGGGGAAGTGGGTACTGCCTGCGCCCCCCCTGGGTGCCTGTCAGGACGGGAATTCCTCCCTCCGGGTTTACAGGACCTCCGGCCTGAGGCAGGATCCTCACTGCAGTGGGGGGTGCGGGGGGCCGGCGGGACCTCAAGGAATCAAAGTTTTCTCCCTGTCCCTTTCGCTTGGGAGAGTCTGGGAGACCCTGGGGGCCGGGAAGCCGTGTGCGCTCGCTGGTCCTTTTCCGTGGGGAGAGGCGGTGACGTCGGTTGTGAACTCGCCTTTCCAGGCTGAACTCGGTGTTGGGGCTGATTTAAGTCATGCGCAGCTGGGGGTGGGGGGCAGGGAGGCAGCTGGCACGCGCTCCGCACCCTGGTGTCCCTTCTCCCGGTGCTTCCCTGACCCCAGAGGAAGGGGCCTCTCTTTTTGCTCTTGGTGAGAGCGACACAGACTTTCAGAGAAGGTTCTAGAGCAGAGCTGGGTCAGGCAGGGGGCATTTCTGGGACACAGGTAGCAGAGCTGGGGACCCCCAGCAGGTGGCCTTTGGGGACTGGCAGCGGGCCCTGGCTCGCTGTGTCCCGGCCGGTTCTCCCGCGGGTCCCTGGCTGCCAGGTGGCTGGGCTGTGGGCACCAGGCGTTCCCTCCCCTTGGCCTGGAGGGACTGGGTGAGAAGAGGAGGCTGGTTGGGGGGAGACCTTGCACGTGAACTTTCCCTGTCCACGTGAAGGAGACAGGCCGCATGAGCGATGCGTGTATATATTTTTCCTACCTTGTGTGTCTAACTGTACAAACATCACATAGGAAAGAGGAATGTGTAGCAGGAAAGTAACAAACCCTGTCTTTTTTTCTTTCCTGAAATCCAAACGTGGGCTGAGTCAGAGTAGCCAACCCCTACCCACTGCCCCCAATGCTGATTGTGCAAGGGGTCGTCCGTCGTGGCCTGGGTGGAGGGCCATGGCTGCGTGCGGCCCCAGTGTGGCAGCAGGCTCCTCTGCCTGCCTTTGTCCCACAGCTCCTGGGTGGGCCTGGGCACCCCCTCAGCCCCCAGCAGCTGCCAGGCTGAGCTTGCAGGGGGGCCGTAGGCTGGTCTTCCCTCCAAAACCCTGGGCATCCCCAGGCCACCTGGTTTGGGTGGGAAGGTGGGCTGGCTGGGTGGGGTGCTGGGGGATACGGTGGGCCCTGAGGCCCTGGGACGGGAGGTGCCCCCCCGCCCTTCATCTGCAGGAGCACGTGGGGACCGGTCAGGAAAGGGTGGGAGCAGGGCCTGCACCTTCTCTCTCCTGACAGGCCCCGCGTCTGGCCGCCCTGTCCCTGTCCCGCCTGACCCTGTGTTCTGGATGTTCCAGGCGGGCTGCGTCCTTCGGGACGTCTGACAAGGTTGTTTGTGTTCCTCAGTGCAGGGGAGGGGGGTGCCCCACGCGAGTGGGGGAGCGCCCAGGGGGTGGGGGGTGGGGCTGGCAGGGCCACCTGCCCATGTGTCTGTCCCTGGCTGGGCTTCTGGGGACTCCAGGAGCAGGAGGGTGTCAAGAGGCGAGGAGGAGCCCCCCGCCGGGTCAGGGGCAGGGAATCGGGGAGCACCCTTCCGACTGGCAGAGTGTGGGGGAGCTCGGGTCCTGGTATTGTCTTTCCCGGCTTGGCCACGGAAAGGCTGCCTGTGTCAAGTGGGGTGGGCTTGTCAGGCCCCCAGCGAGTAGGGACGGCTATGACCTCCAGCAGGTGCCAGGCCCTGGGGCAGGGGTGCCTCGGCTGCAGGGAGAACCTAAGATAAGACAGTGTGCCCTGACGGGGGACACCCAGTCCCCTCGGGGAAGCCCGTGGGCCTCAGCAAGCCTTTTCCAAGTGCTTCAGGTTCCTTGTGAGAGGCTGGGGTTCGGTGGGTGGCCTGCGGTCTGCCAGAGCCCACGTGGTGTCTGTCCTGCGGCCGGAGGACACCCCTCGGCCTCGGTCCCTACCCTGTAGGTGGGTGTTGTGCCGGCGGCACCCGGCGTCCTTCCCTGGACTCTCTCCTGCTGCAGAGGGTAAACTTGGAGAGGGAGATGGGGTGACTGGGTTTGCTCTGGGAACCCACATGCCGTGAAGCCACTCCACACTCCCCAGAGGCGGGCAGAACCCCAGCCGGTCCGCCGAGCCCAGCCCCACGCGGGGACGAGACCGGCAGTGGGAACACAAGCAGGGGCCTTCCTCAAGCCCGGACTTTCGGGAACCCCCACCTGACGTGGACAGCCCCCCACACAGACGAGCACGCGTGTCCTGTCTTTGCCATGAAGGATGTCGGGTCCACAGCAGAGGAGCTCCCAAGGGCGGCTGGCGTCCTTATTGATTTACTTTGCTTTTTGAAAATATAATGGTGCTGGAACTTTTGGGTCGAGTGCTGTGTCTCCTACACAGGTTTATTTATAGCGGAAGGTGGGTGGGATCTGTGTTGCAGCCCGCGCCGCGGGGCTGTGTTCCGCCCGGGCTCCCCCGGGGTTCCTGACTCGCGCTGCCTGTGATGAGACTGCCGCGTCCCAGCACCCAAGCCGGGCGGGGCCTCCCAGGGGTACTTGCCGGCAGGGAAGGGGGCCCTGCCGCCGCCTCTCCAGGAGCCGTGGAGGCCGGCTGTGGCCCCGTCTGGGCGCCGAGGCACTGGGGGCTGGCTGCGGGGGCACCTGGGGGCTCGGGGGTGGTGGTGGCCATGCCCAGGAGGTGTGTCCCAGGGGCCCGGCAGCAGACACCCAGGCATGGGGCTCAGAGGAGACAGAGGACGTGGCAAGGTCACAGGGCCACCCAAGGACGGCGCTGGGTGAGCCCAGCCTGGCTCCCGTGTCCGCGGGTTTGGCAGGGCCCTGCCCAGCAGGGAGGTGAGGCCCAGCGCCCAGGTCCTTGAAGGTGTCTTGTGGACAACGCGGTCGCGGGCCATCCTGCCGCTCCCCCGTGCTCGCTGCCAGCGCCTTGGCTCTCGGTGGGCGCCCAGTGAGGACATGTGGAGCATGGGGTTGCAAGAGGACAGGCCCCCATCTGCCCCCACCACCCCCCCTGGCCCCACAGACTGGCCGTGAGTGGAAGGTCCATGTCCTCCCCTTCCTAAGCCTGCGGCCACTGAGCGCTTTGTGGAGCGCAGGCCCGGGGGGGCACTCCATCTTACGAGCACCCCCACCCCAGCACCTGGTCCTGGGCCCTCGTCCCGATGCTGCCCTGGACCTGGAGCTCCCAGACTGGGGGCCTGCTGCCCCTCGGCCGGCGGGACCTGGGCTGACAGGGCCGCCCCCACTTCCTCTGACTTGGAAGGAGCTGCTGGGTGTGTGTCCATGTGTCTCTGGCCTGCCCAGCCCCCTGCCCCGGGCTCTGAGGGCACGTGTCGTGGGGTGGGGAGGGGAGTGGAAATAAAGACCCCGGCAGCAGAGATAGGGCTTCATGGTACGGGGGGCTTCCTGGGGAAGGACATTACCCTGAGAGCCAGTGGAGGGGGGCACAGTGGAGAGGTGATCTCAGAGAACCTGCAGGAGGTTGGGAGGGGGAGCCCTGTCCCTGGGGTGCCTGCTCCTGAGGTCTCTGGACACGGGCCTGAGCTCCCATGGGACCCTGAGTTTAGAGCCGAGCTGTGACACATCTGTCTCTTGGCTAGTGTGTTGAGGAGGGCTTCCTGGAGGAGGTGAGGCTGGGCTGGACTCTTTGGGTGAGTGCGAGGTCCAGGAAGGCAGGGGGTGTAGAAGGGGAAATTGGGGTGAGCTGAGGCGTGTCTGCCCGGGAGGGCCTGGGCTGTGTCTGAGTCACTCGCTGCCATGAGACTGCCCGGGAAGGGTCCTGGCTTACCCCCAGCCCGCAGGGGCCTAGACTTCTAGACTCGCCCCGTTCCCTGCCCGGGCTCCTGCCGGGCCCTAATGCAGGCAGACGGTTTGTGTCCCTTCAGCTCCTGGCGGCCTGATTAGTTGGCAGACGCCAGGAGCGCTGATGAAGTGCCCGCGTGGGGCACGCTGACACACAGTGACGTGAGCACTGCCCCCGCCCCCACACCTGCTTCCCTGCTGGGCCCGGGGGTGCCGTGTGCGGGGGGCTGGGCGGCCTCACTGTGCAGACCCCCCTGGGCCCTGTCCTGGGCTCCGGGTCCTCCCAGCGGGCCACTTCCACTGCGTGTCGGCCTCTAGCCTGACTGTGCTGCGGGTCCTGGGACCGGGTGGGTCAGGTGGAGGCCGCTGGGGGCTGGGAGTCAGGGAGCCCCCTGCTCACGGGGACCTTGTGGGGAGGAGAGGGGAGGATGGATGGGGAGCAGGGCTGGCCCAGGTAGCCGAGTGACACGTGCAAAGGCCCCGAGGTAGACGGCACATGGCCCTCGGCAGGAGGGGTGGAGGATGTGCTGAGGTGGGGCGGGGGGGCAGGGCGACCAGAGAGGCCTGTGAGCGTGGCAGACGGGTGACCGGCTGGCCTGGGGCCTCGGGCCGGGCCTGCCGCCTGCCAGGCTGGGTCTCATTCTCCGGGAGGGGCCGTGTTGGGACCACTCTGGAGAGAAGTGGAGGACAGAGCAGGTGGAGGGCGGTGCAGGGTCCGAGGGGAGGCCGTGTGCACCCCGTGGTGACCACCCAAATTCTATCCTGCTGTAGGAGGCTGTGGGTGCCCTCCCTGGCACGGTGCAGTGCTCAGAGGTGGTCTGGGTACCCCCCTCGCCCTCCCGGAGCTGGCGAGACGCCCGGCTCCAGGGTCAGGATGGGAAGGAATGCGGGGGAT